CATTATACACATATTATAAGTATCTTAATTCTTTTATAATTAAAAAATTGGTCTTAATTATTAATCAATCAACAGCATTGGCATATAGATTGTGTAATTATGCAGGTATTTTATATATTTATATAACTTCCGTAATCAGTTTTCATTTTGTTGTTTATTTTATAATTACAGAATAACAATTATGCTCCATAATTAAATCCGTATAAATGTATGCATCTTTACACATATATAATACTGTGATGTTAAAAATACTTGTTTCGTACTTATATAACTGTTTATATTAATTAGAACACAAAACATAAGAAAGAATTAAAGATGGCGATAAATTATAACAGAAATAGATAATTAATATATGGATTATAATGAATGGTGATGGAATATATTTATACTACATGTCTTCACGTCCAAATATGTAAACTAAACAATTTTCTGAACAATGTTTATCAATTCTAATTTTTTATTAACCAGGAAGTTATTTAGATATTTCCACGAAATTATTGCGTATATTACACACATACAATAATATAATACTAATCGTTTTATGAACATTGTAATACTATAATTATGACTTTTTATGTATAAGAATATAAGAATTAAAAAATTATTATGTCTATGTAAAACAAAAAGGCAAATAAAAAGAGTTTCTAAAACAAATAAGATAAAAAAAATGGAGTTCATATGAGATATTTTATAATATATGTATATGAAAAGTGTACGTGTGTGCATGCGTGAAAGCTACAAAAAGCTAACGATGAATATATGCGAAAATATTTTATGTTTTGTTGACAAGAGTGAAAACAAACATTTTATGAAAATCTAAGGAATATACAAAGTACTACATATAATCAAAATTACTTAATATATACAAGGTGTTTTTCCTCTAACTTGACCATCTAGAATATCTCCGTTGTTTTTAATGATACAAGAAAATACTAAAGGAGAAAGTATTCGATTCGAAGGGGCATATATTATGATGAATAAAAAATTTTTTCTCAAGGTCATATTTTTTTGAGATTTCAAAATAATTTTTACTTTTTTAAATGGAATAGTATGATTTTTTTACAATATGATTTATCTCATTATTCTGTTTATAGAAGTATTAAAGTACGATTAAAAAAAAATTAACAGTTTACGAGATATTTAATATTTTATGCTAACATGTGACAATAAAGTATAAAGTATCTCGTAAACTATTGGTTTTTTTTATATATCACTATCTTAATACTTTTATATTCAAAATAATTAGAGGAATCATATTATGTAAAAAAAATCATATAATTTCATTTAAAAAAATGAAAGTGATCTTGAAATTTTAAAAAATAGCTTGAGAACATTTTTTGTTCAACCACACACACACACACACACACACACACACACACACACACAATATGCCCTTGAATCGAATTTTCTCCTTTGGTATATCATTAAAAACAACGGAGATATTTTAGATGATTATAAGAAACATCCTATATATAATATTAACAATATTTTATATTTTTAATATCTTGATTATCCATATATGCTTGAAACAATTTTTTGAAATAATTATTTGCTGTTCTAGGATAGTACGTGCGGTATATATAATACACACATACACACATAGAATAGTAATGCATATATACGTAAAATTGTTTCTAATAAATGTTACAAGTTAGGTATCTACATTTATGTTTTAAACTACTTTGCATTTCTAATGGGGCGTGCAATATAGGATGCATCCCATTTCACACATGATTCATCATTTATCCTTGTTGTTTACCAAATGTTAAACAAGGATAAATGATACATTATATGCACATTATGCATGAAACGAAATGCACGCCTATACGAATTATTACGAATCTAACGAATTAACTTTACTTTCAAATCAACAAAACGACGACAAGGAAATGGCGACCGTGGAAGGCTTACAACAAGATTACATAGCATGTTGAGCGAGAAAAGATTTCTATTTTTGTTCACGTTCTTAAAGAAAAACAAAAAAAGATGATCTTTAATTCTTGCATGTCCGTTAAATATTACCATGAACTTTTAAATTACATTGATTTACCAGTGATGAGTATACATGTATGTTATTAGATGTTTTCCGATGCCACTCGAAATCGCAATATTTTCATGAACAACTTAGTGTTCATGCTTTCATTAACAGCAAACAGAAACAGACGAAAAGAATTTTCGACTTTTCATCAAGTTTGCAACGCTTTTTCAGAAATTTTGCTCTGCACTGGTCGCGAGAGATATATCTGATGTCGACTGGAGACGTGCAGATGTACCAGATGATCCCATGGTAATAATTATCTCATTATTTATTTTGCTTACTATTAAGAGAAGTAAAGAAATTAATACGATAATTTTCTCAATAATAAATACTAATTAATGAATATCGATTTTAAACATTGAACGACTTTTAGAAATACATCCATCGTATTGGTCGAATCGCTCACGGAGACGATAGCAGCGGTCATGCATTGCTGATATTACGACCAGAGGAGCTTGGTTATCTCGAAATAGCTCGTGTATCCATAAACAAATACGAATTTTCTTGCAATAAAATTGCCGATATACAATTACAGGTATAAGCAATGAATATATTACGTAATTTTCTCTTTTAAAATTTATTGTATTTTTTTATGTGGACTGTAATTTAAACACTGAGTTTAAACTGAAACTAAGAGATATTAAAACATTCAGATGAGAATGTATGTATGATTTCACTGCATTTTTTAGTACAGAATTGAAATGTGTACAATTCTTAATTTAACTAAAATATCTGCGTAAATATTCAGTAATATTTATAAAGATATTATATAGGACATATTCTGTTTTAGCTTGAGAGTCAACCAAGGAAGCCTTCAAGAATTACGTTAGAACATATTATTCACATCATTTGAAACAGGTCTTTAATATAGAAACTCTGAATTTGGCGAAAGTCGCCAAATCTTTGGGATTTACCGGCAATAGACTTAAGTATGATTTTTAATTTAACAACAAATTATATATAATGGAAATATACATTCTAAGTTGAAGTGCAAAAGTTTTCTCGGACAAATTTATTTATAATTTTTTAAATTTTTAAATATCTCTTCAAAGTATTACTTTCTTAAGTATTTATTCAAATCTTTAACGATAACATGTAGGCAAAAAACATTCAATCTATTTATCGCTTATATTTGAATTAATCGAAATTTTAATTATTATTTTCTCGGTATTAAATTAATTCATATCTGGATTCAAACAAAAATATGCGCTATTAGTTAACCTAATGTTAAACTTTCATTTTTTCCTATTTAACTCTTTAACAGAAGTGGAAATTAGTAAGTCTTCACGATCACAAAAGAGACTCAGCGAAGGCGGTTACAACATTTTAAAAATATAAACGATCCGAGTTCGGCAAAGCGGCTGAAACGTACCAAGACCTTTCACCAGATAGGCAAACATGGACAAGATAATCAGTAATTCAGCAGGTAACAGGCATCCACGCGCATCTTATAAGTGTAGATGATAGACAATGGTGTTCGACGGCATCTTAATATCATTAAGCATCAATTTAATGATATTAATATATCGATATGATAACTTGAGCATCGACAGTTGACAATCCCAATTTGATTGCTAGAAAATCTTACCACACTACTGACAATTCGTAAATAAAGTGCAACATGTGAGAAGCGCACACGCGCGCGCGCGCGCGCGCGCACACACACACACACACACACACACACACACACACACACCTATGTCCAGATCATATTAACCCTCTGTAGTTTAATGTTTTTTTACTGTTTTTCTAATCCAACCGATTCACTAGTGTCAGATTGTGTTTTTCAAAAGGTTTTGGGCTTTAAAAAATCTGAAAAAATTCGGATACATTCAAGAATACGATTTTACAATGATATGATTCAAAATATTTTTATTTTGTTTGTATTTGCGTGGCTCTTCAAAGCTCCGGTTGGACCACGAAAGGTTAAAGTCAAAATAAACTATCGCATGTATTATGTATACAGTAAATAGCTTTAGTGAACGATCATAAACGAAGATCATTTAAATCTTCATCGAACAGCATCACTTTGTACGCGAGATTAAGACATAAGATATTTGAGATATTACTAAGCCTTAGTTGAGGCATTATTGTACAATTTTAGATTTGACATCAGATCGAAAATACATTCGCTTTTTATGTTAGTAAAAAACTAACGTTCTAGACTTATTCGGCTTTTTCTTCTTAATGATTCTGACTTCACTCTGTCTTTCCTAGTTTTTTTTATCGAGTTAGTCAGAATCTACGAATGCAGTTTTTTCTCTTTATTCGAAGATTTGAAGATTACAGAGGCGATCGGGACAGGAATGGAAGAAGGATGTGGAGTAACAGGGGAAAAAGTCCAAGACGAAGTAATTTATAACGCGCGACACCCACACGATTTTCACAGTGAGGCCATGTACGGACGCGTGACGTCAACGTCACTTTTGCATTAGCCAGCGTGTGCGTGCGTGCATGCGTGCCTGCGTGCGCGCGTGTAGGCGCTGGATACACGGCATAGAAGGTAAAGTCCGTGGGAGAACACTAAAGAGGCGGCGTAATCGACGCGGCCGATCGATCGATCAGAAATCACACCTTGAATTCGATCTATGCGCGATCGTTCCGTCACTGGCGATTTCTCGAAAGTTGCGGACGAGAGGCCGATTGTAATTGAATAGAATCCAAGAATAGAGACACCTTTATAATTTGTTAATTCGAATTCAAATTCACGGATTGGACTTTTTGAATACCAAACCATCATTTAAATTGCGATTACAAAAGTTGCGAATATTAAATTGATTTTTAAGATTCATTTCTTAAATTGCTACATTTTTCAAGGCTTTCGATGGAAATATTATCAGTGAAAAGATGGTTATAATTAATAAAGATCTCTCTAAGATTCGAATTATCCAGATAATTCGAGTACCTGGATTTAAGTATCTCCAATAATAATTGTTTTGGATAATTGAAAGATCATACTCGGATTATAGCATTGTAAACATTAATTTAATATCCTTAAATTTCAGGTACTCATTGTTAAAAGAACTTATTAAATTCTTTACGAAAAACATCATTTTGTTGAAATATCTAAAACTTTAGCTAAATACAGGTCTGAAAATAATTTTGTTAGACTATCAAAATAATTACGTAGTAAATTCAAGTATAATGAGCAATGCTATCAAAAATTTTGACATTTAACCACCAACCAAGTTTGAGCGTCCTAAATAATTATTTTGATAGTACAGTGAAATTATTTTTCTATATAATTATATTGGTAGAATACACCAAATTATTTTTGGATATGTATTTAGTTAAATTTTTACATAGCAAAATCATTCTTTTCGTGTTGATTGAAATGGAATCTCAAAGGATGAAAATTGAGCTAATCTTGAAAAGAACAATTTTCAATCTTTAAGAGTAAGATTTTATTCTTTAAAGTGAGATTCACTCTAAAATTTTTAGAGAGAAGATTCTTAAAAAAAAAAAAGAATTTATTTACTGTATTTTAATAATCATAACCAGCTCGTTTGACGCCGTTCATCGCGGCTGTTTTGCAATCTTCATTAATGAAAGACTATAATAAAATTACAATTTGTACTTTTTGCTGCTGAAGAGAGAGAGAGAGAGAGAGAGAGAGAGAGAGAGAGAGGCGAAAGGAGAATAGGCTTTGCTTTCTTTCCACACGGATGAAACATTCCGCAACTGCGTGCGCTCCCTTAAGCGGTTCGTAAAGACAAACCGGTGGCGAATGTGCGCCGTTGACACCATTAACTGTCAACGGTGACTACCTCGTAATGGTATTTCCATTGGTAATCCAGCTGAGCAGAAATCACAGTAATGCTCCTCCTACAGGATTGGTTGTTTATACACTGGATCCCGTATAAAAGCATGCCTCACACGAGAAACGCACGATAGAATAAAATTTTTGTATTCAAACGACGAGACGTGACCAGGATTCGCTATATTCTTTTGTTAAACCGATTTATAGTATTGTTTTTCATCTCTTCTAGCATTTTGTTTTCAAGGCAAATTCACTCTTTAGAACTTTAGAATTGAACGAAGATTCTTATATTAATTTCTATATTAACTTAGTCTCGGTTTAACTCACTCTTTATCCTTTTTTTATTTTAAGAAAAAGGTAAGATGTAAATTAAATCGAAATTAAAATTTTAATTAATAGACAATCAGTTAATAAAAATGGATATTACATCATTATCCAAACTCGTTTAAGCGAATCTTTTTTGTCATGATATTTTAAATAAAATGGTATATGTGCGTTGGCCCAATATTAATTTGCAAGTTATAAACATATCACTATTATATTTTCAATCACTTTTAATTAGCGAGAATGTTCTGATATCGCGGTCTTGGAATTATTGCTCCAAGTAACCATCTCTGCATTGAGAAAAATGTTTTGATTAAAGTAATTTGCATTTTGGTAAGATCAAGCAAAATTATAATATCCATTGCTTTCAAAATGCCATTTCTTGTTAATACGTTTTGTTGATTTAATCAAAACATTTTTCTGTCAGATTAGTTAGAGATCGTATATGATCAAGAGTTTAGCCACAAGCGATTTTGTCAAAATCTTTTACGAGAGAAAGGTATATATAATTTCTCGTAGAGAGTACATATATTCTCTTACTTTAACTTATACTTTCTTATTCTATAATCTTAATTAAAGTTAATAAGTATATATATTGCATGGGAGAAATTATATAAATCTTTCTCTTTCATAGGATTTTGACAAAATTGCTCATGCTCTGTAACTCTATTATAGAATCTCTAAGATAAGCAAAATTTTCTAAAAGGAAGAAAAAGAAATAAATTACGATTAAGAGCGTCGTTAGTGCACGGCACGTGCGTCGTTAATATATGAATCGGCGACACACTCGCGAATATCACCTTGTACGTTCACGCCTTGGTCGGCGTTCGTATATCGTAAGTGAGTAGGTAGAGTTATTAATTATGCATTCTAAGGCACGCCGGAGCTCGGGAGATCGTAACGATGTTGCGCACCGTTGATGTAATGCACCGATCTCAGTTGGGAGAAGTCGGCTGGTTGCGCACTCAGGATATGTTCCACACGGCCCATTTTTTTCTCCCTACCTCTGTCCACGAATGCATTCTTTGCGAAGCCGGGACGATTGCCGAGGAAGTATACCGCACTACCGTATCCCTGTCTTGTCAATCGGCACGTTATTCATTCATACTGAAATTTCATCTTTCTTAAACCTCCAATAAGACATATTGTGCTCGTTTGTTATAACAACGACATAACTCAGAAAATAAAATTTTTCAGAAAATTAATTTAAATATTTTGAATTATTAAAATTTTGTAATATTAATTTAGAAATACAATTTTGATTAATAATAGATTGTATAAAAATAAAAATGTTTTTTAAAAATATATTTTTTTCTTGAAAACGTTACAATTTTTATAAAAATTGGAAGGAATTATATACATACATCTATATATATTTTTTGTATTCGCCATATTGGATCTATCATTTTTACATCCAGTGGTTCTAAAAAATTCTGCGATACATAATTTAAGATATTTTAGAATTTTATATCTTAAATATTTTATTCTTTCGTATCTACTACAATGAACTTTAAATTTTTATATTTTGATTCCATTTTCCTACAATCAACGATCTCAAAGATATTTAAAAATAAATAAACTAGATATATTCTTAAAAAGTCCAAAATAAAAAGTTAACGAGTTTGCATGCGCGCGCATATCGTCGCGTGAGATCCGGAGCCAAAATTGGCCAAGATTAAAAATTGTAATTGAAAACCTGTGACTGGAAAAGATCACCGGAAAAATTTTAGAGGAAGTGAGCTTCCCTTCGGGAGTTCCATGGCGTTCCAGCTGACTCCAAAGACATTTTCGATATAAAATATAGATGTGACATCCCGTGAGATCATTCGTGGTAGTGAAAGATCACACTTCTGAAAAAGAAAAAAAAAAGATACAATAATTCGCCTCTCACGCATACACACAATATCGTGTTAAGAGAAACGAACGGTGCGTTGGCCCGTGGACGCGGGCCTGAATTATCCAACTCCACGACACGATGGTATGGCGTTTATCTTCCTCTCCCTTTCTCTTTCCGTTTCTCTCATTCTCGCTCGATGCTAGCGCGTATGCAGAGGCCGTATATGGTAGTGGGCGGTAAACGCATGGCAAGTGACGACGTTCCTCACAACGACGCAGGAAAGCGCGGCGCGCGTAGCGCGCATGCGCCCGCGAATCCGCTCCTCGGCTCCACTCGGTGCCGCTCGGCTCAACTCGGCGCGGGCGCGCATGCACTGTGCACGGACGGTGCAATCAGTAGAGCCGAGAATTCCAAAGCGTGTGTACTTACTCTTGAATTCTCGCGATTCGCATTCCAATTTTACCCTCCTCACACAAGCGAGCGAGAGAGAGAGACATACACCATTGTCTCTATGCATGTCTAATCCTTTCTCTCTCTCTCTCTCTCTTTCTTTCTTTCTCTCTCTCTCACCCCCTTTGCCATTTCACCTGATTCTCTTTAGTTTTTCTTTCTCTCTTCAAAACTTCGTCGATCGTTCTATTTATCTTCGACGCTCCTCTCTCGCTCTCTTCTCTTCCTACGTTCTTTCTCCTTCTCTCCGTATCTCCCTCCCTTTCACTCCCTTCTTACCGTCGCTCCCACGCTTCTCGCGATCTACTACGGCGTGCGTTTACCAGTGGGATCGTTTCTGAAAGCGCAATAGTCAACTATGACGACGTGAGTGTGTTTCTTCGAAAAGGAAAGATTGACCGAATCAAGCGGGATAAAACTGAAGAAAAAGGGAGAGAATTATCCGACGGAGCTGACGGGAAAAGTATATATCGAAGAAATCGGACGCTAAATACGAGGAGAGAACCGATCAAACGGAGTTCTCGATTACATCGCTGAAAAAAAAATAAGAGGAAAAGAAGAAAAAAAAAGAAAAAAACGAACGACAGGCGAGGCGACTTTACGACTCTCTCGGAGGAGTGTCGCTCGCGCGTTCGCTCTCCGGCTCCCTCCCCCTATCCTTCCCCCTCTCTCGCACCACCCTCACTCCGATCCCTCCACGTTAGCGGGAGTCTCTCCTCTTCTCCTCCTTCGTCTCGCCCCCCCCCTCCTCCCCCGTTCTCTTGCTTTCGTCTCGCCCCTCCTCCACTCGTCGCGTCACTGCCTCCTCCCCTTCTCTCCTTCGTCTTCAACGCCGTCGTCGCTGCCCGCCGCCTTCGCTGACTCCGCTCCGGCTCCTTTTCTTTTAAACGCTCCTGCGTCAGTACGTCTCCACCCGTCCGCGCGCGCCTGGTACTCTCTCGTAACCGGAGAGAGAACAACTCCGTCGTTCTCCGTCCCGACACCGCGCCGCCGCCGTCGCCGCCTCCGCCGCCGCCTCTGCCACCACCGCCGCGCAACGTCGCGGCCCGCTCACTCATCGCCTCCCTTTTGAGTGTTGCATTAAGCGTGCCCGCGCGCGCCCAACACGCGCCAACATTCGCCATTGAAGCAGCCGAGTACAATTTGCGATGTGTGATAATACTAACACGACGACGCAGAGTATAGCGGACTACCTGTCACAGTTGCTGAAGGACCGGAAGCAGCTAGCTGCCTTCCCAAATGTCTTCATTCATGTGGAACGTCTGCTGGATGAGGGTGAGTGACGATTTTTTTTTCGATCTTTTTTTCTTTACTCCAGTTTTTTTTTCATCTCGATCTCTGCCGCTCTTTATATTCTTTTTATCCGTCTCTGACGTCTCGGCGTTGTGTCATGTGTCCGTGCGAATCCGGGGCGAACGGGAAAGGTCGAAGGTAAGGTCTTCCGGGAAATCCAGAAATAAATGTGTAGCGAAAGTGTACGCGGTCGAATTTGAACGGTCATGTAACGCGAGGGATTTCGCGAACTGCGCCATTTTGCGCACTTGCGCGCCTCCGAATACGCTCGGCGATGAATTTTTCATTGTGACGTAACGGAGAGATCGCGTGTCTTTCTTCTCCTTCGATGATCAAGTCGCAGAAGCACTTCTCTCATTCCATCTGGATTACCGACTTCTCATACGTCATGCATCGTTTTCTAATTCGTCGTCGATCGAGCCGATTGGCCCATAAATGTTATCAGCGAATTTCTACGGCTATGAACAAGACGTATATAGGGTGTTCCGGAAAACCTAACTTCGGTGCAAGTAATTTTCTTGGTACGACGAGACATTTAATCCCGGCATGAGCTTTGGATTTTAATCGTTTCTTCGTGCATCTCTGTACGAATTCGTCGATCTTTGAACACTGTCATTTATGGATAGGACCAGCGAAAAAATCATCATCCAGCGCCGGTTTTTCACTGATAAGAGGCGCGTCTTCGTTGTGACGTATATCGAATGTAATCATTGGTGAATGACTTCCTTTTCGCGATATGTGCATCGCAAAAAAAATTAAAGACTTTCTAATAAGAATCTGTAGAATTATGTAACTTTTTCCTTAAACGGAAACGTGAAAAGTAAAAATATTTATATTATTGTATGTATGTATATATATATATATATGTGTGTGTGTGTGTGTGTACTGAAAGAAATGTTTTTTGTATGGTATATGACTTACAAAACCTTCTTACTTTTTAATTAAAAAATTTTGTTTTAATCAAAATTTTTTAAATAAAAAGTAAAAAAGTTTTTGTAAGTCATATATTAAACAAAATATTATTCTCTCAAAGGATACATACATACAAAAAATTTTTACTCTTCACATTTCCGCTGTAGAGAAAAAATTACATGATTGACTTCCTGAGCTCGAGTCGCATTTTATATGCATGGAAAACTGTGTTGAAATCTAAAAATTTAGTTACATACAGAAATCTGAAGATAACTTTATTAAATTATCAAAATAATTATGTAATTCAGGCTTGTTGTTAGAATGAAGTTAAAAATGAACTTGTAATTACATTCTAGGAATTAAAATTTTTTTGTCTCATACTCGAGAGAATTCCTACGTAATTATTTTGATGGTTCAACAGAATTATTTTCAGATCTTGTTAAACTTTTAAATACTTCAGCAAAATTATTCCTTTCTTGTAGTTCATCTACTAAAATCACGCGAGAAAGGACATACATTTAGTATTTTTTTCTCTTTCTATTATTTTTTTTTATCTCTTTCTCTCTCCCAAGAATTGGGAGAAGAAAACATGGGGGCCCAATTAAAAGTGGCTGTTTTCTATCTTGACTCTGATTAGAGAGTTTTAGAAATGATATCCCCCTTGTTTTGCTTTTTATTCCCGCGTTGTTGCACCACTCGAGCCCGTAATCGGAATCCGATACTCCGTTCGAAAAAAATCCCGCTAACGCAGGGATTATGCACGTAGAACACTGTACACCCTGTGTACAGGTGTCGAGTACCCCCCGCGTGTGCCTTATCCGCTCCTTTCGCTATCGCGACGCCCGGCGCGTGTGCGTCACGTGGCCGGCGTGGCGATGGCATGGTTATGTTCATTCGAGAATTACAACGGACCTCGTCGGTTTATTATCTGATCACACTGCCCATAGATGCACAGATCTTCAAAGAGACGTCCTGAAAACGTCCAGATGTTCTATGTCCTAAAACTGTGACTAGGGCCCCTATTCTTGAAAAATATCGCATACGGAAAACTAGAGAAATACTATAGTATGCGTTACATATATTATAGCACTTCCGTAGTTTTCGTATACGCGATACTTTTCAAGAATAGGGGCTCGGACTATAGATTGAAATTGAATTGGAATTTAACTGATTACTATTCATTTCTACCAATGCTGTTTAATTTTAATCTTGGTTCAACTAATTCTTCATCTTTTCCTAGTTCTAAAAGTTCGAAAAAAGTGACGGACAAGTTGAACTGAGATTAAAGTTAATCTATATTAGTAAAAATAAGTATAAAAGAATAAAAATTAATCTCATGTTTATAGTGAACTCTGCTTTGATTAGTTAAATTCTAATCTAATTGCAATCTCTAATTAAAGAACGAATTTTATTTTCTCGTTAATCGAATGTATCCCACACTTTAAGAAAGTCTTCCTAAGCTGTGCTGTAATCAAGGTATCTGTTACGTAACTTTTTCTCTAGGGCGAAAACGTGAAAATTTTTATGTATATACACATACGTATATATATGTGTGTGAAAATTTTTTTTATGAAGCGTGTATATAGATATACATATAATATAAAAAATTTCACTTTTCACGTTTCCGCCTTAGGGAAAAAGTTGCATAACCGATACCGTGATCACGATGCTGATTTTCTGCCTTTCGTCTTTCCCCCTCCCTTACAGTCCAATTACGCACCTGTTGCACTTATAAGCGCAACAGGTACATAAAGTAAACAGCACCGCTGCGAAAAGGATAATCATATAACTTTTTCCATAGGTCGGAAACGAAAAGTGAACATTAGTTTTTACTATTGAAGTTAATGAGAAATTTTTCATTTTCCATCCTAGAGTTAAGTGACGTGATCGATACTCCGACAAAGTAATATTATATTGTGTTTATTAACGAGATTTATAGATGATAATTATATTATCTTAAACCACTATACAAGAAAGGTTAATGTCACACTAATGCCTGTTTCCACTAATGAAGATTAACTTTAATCACGATTCAACTTACTCTTCAACTTTTTTTAATTTTAAGAACTAGAGAAAGATCAAAAGTAAGTTAAACTAAGATTTAAGTTAATCTATGTTGATAAAAATTGACTTGAATCATATCCTGTTTTGAGGAATGATTCGATATTGATGAAATCAATACAATTCTCGGTTGACAAAAAAAAAACATTACGTGAAATAAGAATACGTAAGCAAAATGACTCTCCGATGTCGTGTCAATTTGCAAACGGTTGCATTTTGAGCGATTTTTGCGATCACTTATGCGAATTCAATATCGAAGAAACGATGAGCTGCATAGCAGTTCAATCGCGCGTAAAATAATGTATAGAATAAATGCGTGGAGTATTCCGCGAAAGGTCAGGTCTTTATTTTTAGCGAACTAGCGCCATTTGAGATTATCGCGACTACCGCCAGTAATTCGATAGCCTGCATTACGTTATCACGTGGAGAAACGCATGGCATTATTGCAATAGATTGGCATCTGATATTTATGACAATAATACGAATGCGATGCAGGATCGAAGATATTTTTCTATTCATTTTATACCATCACTTTCGTATCATCACTTTCAATATCATGAATAATGTGTAAATAATTTGCGATAAACGTCAAGGTTCTGCATTGAGAAAGCTATTTAATTGAATCAATTAATTTTTTGTTTGGCTATGGGCAAACAAATTCTTGGTTGATGCAATAAAATAATAACTTAGTTGGATCAAATATTTGGTTATTGTAACATTTTATTTGTTTCTGATAAACAACAACCTTATCAGATGTCAATGTTTATTAGAAACAAATAAAATGTTGCAATAACCAAATGTTTGATCCAATTAAGTTATTTTATTGCATCAACCAAGAATTTGTTTGCCCATATCCAAACAAGAAATAAATTGATTCAATTATTATAAATGAGTTTCGGTGTGTTGCCGTCAGAAATATTTGGTAATCGAATGTACTATAGTTTTTTGTTATACACATGTATTTTTTCGCAAGTAGAATTCAATTCTTATTCGTTAAGAATATTCTTAACAATAACAACTTAAAATCTCTAATTACAATAATATTCTTTTAATTAGAGATTAAGTTATAGAGAGAGTTTAGGTTTTCTATTATTATACATCCTAAAAAATAAAATATTAACTTTCACTTAAAGGCATTAAGACGTGCAAAAACGCATTGAAATGTTAATTTTAACATTTTTGCATGTTTCAGCAAGTCCGCTATACGTCTTTAAGTCCAAATTAATGTTTTATTTTTTACAGCGTATAAAAATTAAAAATCTACTTGCAAGTAAATATGTATACATATACATATTTTTTTGCACGTAGATTTTTAATTTTTTTTTTGTTAAGAATATTATCTCTTAAAAATATTTTTAAGAATTATGTATTTTAAAAAGAATATTTTGAAAAATAGTCTTAATAAAATTATAAATATAAAAAGCTAAAATCTACCTGCAAAAAAAGATATATATATATATATATATGTATATACATGTAATAAAATCTCAGAAAACTAATAAAAAATCTAATTAAAAGAATATTTTTGCGCTTAGAGATTTTAATTTATTATTAAGAATATTCTTAAGAATCGAATATCTACTTGTAAAAAAATATGTATCATAATGGAAAATTAGAAAACTGTGTGACTAACCACAAGTACATTTGATTGTCAAATATGTTTACGGCAACAAACAGATCCTCGGTATTTTCTCAACATAACATTAGTACGAATGTATTATAATAATGTATTGCTAATCGATTTCTTTTTCATATATTTGTATAGTAAACGCATTTTTTCTCTTCTTCCAGTTATTTTCTTTATTTTCAGAGCCAATCGCGTTTTCTGACTCGCTTCGTACTCCACCTCTCTACAACATTCTTTTCCATTTCCTTGCGAAAGTCTTCCAGGTTCTCTGCAACCGGTGGCGGTTCTAGATTGCGAATTGTCCGCGCACATCTGTGTTTAGAATTGATTTCAATCGACTAAACGATACGGCAAGTGAAAGGAACATGCGAGCGCGATACCC